GCGATGTCGGCGTGGTTGAGGTCGATGCCGGCGACGACGTTGAGGGAGCTATTGCAGGGCAGAGGAGCGCAGTAGACACCACGGTAGGTACAGACGTTGGGGCCGACCCAGTTTCCGGTGAAATTCTGGGGGTCGGACAGGATGGCCTGCTTCCATGCCTGGAGGGCGACGTAGGCGTCGCGGAGGCGGGGATTCGGGAAGTGGAAGGAGGGGTCGACGCTCACCCGCTCGCCGCGGTCGCCGTACTCATCGAGATAGTACAGCAGCTGCCGCCTGCGGATGAGTCCGGCCTCGGCGTCCGTGAGGCCATGGCTGCTGAAGGCGGCCGCTGTCGTGGCCGCAAACACAACAATTGAGATCAGGAACAGGAGGACCAGATGATTCTTCTCCGATCTACTTCCCCTCTTCATCTCATCCTCGAACAATGATTACAGGAATTGGGATAGGAAAAGAGAAGGGAACGAGGTACGAGTTGGGAGGGCAGATGGTAATATCTCGGAGTACGAGCAGCTCCAAAGCTCGTGAAAGCTTTTTGTTATCGAGGGTATTGGGAGGGCTGATGCGTGGCTCCCTCCGCTAATCTCGCTTCTATACCCGCGCGCCGGCCGGCCGATCCGTCTTTTGGTTCAATTTAAAACGAAAGCTGCTTGGTTCGGCTTTTTTTTTCCGGTTCTTTTATTTAAATTGATGGGCGGATTAGTTTCAACGACTTTATTAGCTGGATTCGAATGGGAAAGGAAGAGACATGGAATAAGCCAAAGGAATGTACCGCTAGACCGAGACCGGCTTAATCATAATTGAGAAGGCTTGCAGGCCGGTTTAATTTGGGGTGGTTTTGTCCGTTGATTAGGGGGACGCGGAGAAGAGAACGGCGTTCATTTTTTTCGAGGGCGCACCATTCGACTTAAATGTCTAAAATGCCCCTGGTGCAGGTTCCGAACCGACGGCCAACGCGGTGGCCATTTGGCGCATGGGGCAGGGAGAAAAGACGCGCCGTTGAGGATAATACTGTCATTTCGACGTCTCATGTGGACGCGTGCATGGATGATGCGGGCTCAGCTCGAAGCCGACGGGCATGTGCGCGGGCCCCACGAGTCGCGGCGAGTGCGCCTCCCCCGACCTCGTCACGTCCCAACTCCTGTTCCGAATCCAAATCACCCTCCGACGTGGTCCAAATTTAGGCAGCTGGCCCTCCGCGATCACCATCACTGTGGCCAAATCCCTCCTACGATTAGTTCACGAAATAACCAGCGAAAAAAAACATATTACGGCCTCTCATCAAGTAGTGGAGCCGTTCCTGTTGCTAATCAACGATATTAGTGGGAGGCCACACAGCTCATGTCCTCATCAGAACCACAAAAAAAAAACAGCAATAATAATAATAATAATGTGATCCAATACATATGGATCGGTATATGCAGTGTTGAATGGAGAATTTTATGCGATGCACAAGCAAAACGTATTGCTTTGGAACTCCGCCGTTTCACAGCTGTTCTGCGATAAGGATCAAGTTGTCACCTTTGGCTACAGCCATGCATGACTCATTTGGAAGGTTCTCCATACGACCAGGCTAAGCCATTTGTGTGGGCTGTTGTTTCACCCCTCGAAGAGCGATTGCATGTTGACGATTAGTTGGACTCCAAATTGATACGTCACATTCTAATGGTGCATGATCAGTGTGATTAAAAGCTTTGAGGAGAGAGCCTACACTAGATATCAAGGGACGGGTTATGTTCTATGTATCAAACAAAGGTGCGCAGCAAGAAACAATTGAGAGCTAGGTAGATATGGCCCCCTCCATGAAAGAAAAGTAGAACCTTCCAAATGCCAGTGGGCAAGTAGCTGTACTCCAATCTCTAATCTTTCCTCCATGGCTCCTCCGTCGCTCGACCTCATCCTTCCACTTCTCTCTTATCTTCTCAATCCAATACCCCACACACACATCCGAGAGAAGTATCGTCATTATCATTCTTATTAATATTACTACATGTTATCTCTTTCTGTGTGGACTTGGAAACCCAGTTTGACTGCAGAACGTGAAGAGAGGTCGAGGACGGCCGGTGGTTGCCAAATCACCTCAAAGTCTTCCACGTATTGCTCTCAACCCCATGTGCTCCTCTTTCTCTCTGTCTAAGCTTGACAAAGTAAGAGAGAGAGAGAGAGAGGTTAGCATGATACAACAGTTCCATTCCCTAAAAAGTCATACTTAATCCTTGTATTTTATCAACCTTTATTTGTTTGAGGATCATAAAGCACATTCTCTCATTAAACCAAAGGACAAGGAAACTAGAAAGAAGCTTCATGATTGAGGCTCTTTTAGCACCTCCATGATTGAGCTGCTTCACTTATCGCCTCTGTTGTTAATCTTATTCTTCCTTCTGATAGACAAGGCTCAGTTTTCCTTTTGTTCGGAGAGTTTGTATAGCTCAACGATGTCGTAGATGGTCAATAAGCACGCATGTTAACATGCATGTTAACAAAGAAGGAAGGTGATGAGGAGAAGTCAATAGAAGAGGGAGGGAGTCAAGGAGGAGGAATTGGCGACCGCAATTTACGCGATGAGGACCAGAAAAGCTGCAGACGACGACGATAGCGGGGCCTGCTGGATGGTGTCGGTTGTCGTCGCGCCTCTCTCTCTCTCTCTTCTCCATTTCATAACTGTTGTGATGGGGAAAGAGAAAGCCGACGAGTTACGTAAACGCGTGTTTGGTTCGTGCAGACAATAGCGTGGGCAAACAGTTGCACATTCATTGAAGGGGAAGTGGGAGCCAACTAAGGAGAAGGAGGTCAACCTTCTCACCCTCGATCATGACGATGATGATGGTGGTCGTGATCGCATGTCCATCGCCTATACATGATAATATCATCATCCTCTATTGTTTTCTTCAGTATTTTTATGAATTGTACTATTAATACAATATCCTAGAAAAGGATCCATGATGAGGACATTACATCTTCGAGCGTTCAACTATTGAGAGATGCAACTCAACTTTCCTTCCATCATAATATTTTAACTGAATTGATATCCCATCACGGATATATTAAATTTTGACTGGTACATGTGTCATATTCCATCCATCAAGGGGTAAAAATGAGCACAGACATTAGTAAAATGATAATTATGTTCATAGAGTTCATGACGACAACACATTTGTGATGAAATGGGATGTATCTGCCGCCGAAGTCGTTCGTGTTGGTGACCATCTCCTCTGGCCCGTGTGCTTGTGTTCTACTGTTGCCGGATAGCTCTCTTCCTTCTAACAGCAGCATGTAGTATGTGTCTCTGTGATAAGATGTCGGAAGTGATGTCTTCTCAGTTTGTCCAAATGAGGAACTCAACTAGTTGGACCAAGATGAGCAAGACACTGTTGGATTACTTGCATGCTCAGACCCTCGTTAACAGATAGATATGGATCATGAATCATGTCTCCCCTGTCATATCATCAACAACATCTTGGTGCAACAGTTTGTTCCATCATATCATCACCTTTTAACACTGTTTGTGCATCAGTATGGATACCAGAACTCTATTTGGACCTTAGCAGATACCTGGTATCCAAATCGGAATCATATTGGACCTTGAATTGGATTAGTTTTCAGCCACATTAGGTGTATATAGATGGCATCCCACATGCAACTTTCTGATCCTGTAATGCAGCGTTGCCTTACTAGAAAGTCAAGAAACTGAGGATTCCACTGACAGTCTGCAGCAATTAAACCGCTCATATGCCTTCTGAATCGAGTCAACAGAAGGGAACATGTATTGCAGAAAGAAGGGGAAGACTTCCTGCCATCTATCACATTGGCATCTGTAATACTTCTCGTAGATCTGCATGCAACGAGAAAATACCATACTGCACAGGTTATTAATTCCCAAGCTATTCTTAGAACCGACATGTGCTGTTCTGCATTCAACAATCATAAGCACCAGATAGATATTACCTAACCTACCGACATGCATGATTCCAGATAGCGATATCTAGGAATCCTCAGCAATCATTTGCAATGCTGATTACACTGTCGGTAGCACCTGCATGATCAATGCAGGTAACAGATACAAGTTGAAGAGTAAAAACAAAGAGTGAAAATTAGGGTTCTTAGCAAAAAATTCCAGACACCTTCACATTAAACACCAATGCACCAGCTGCACTGTAGCAAACATACCACTTTAAGTGCTCTCAGCTATTCATTTCCCTGCAATAAATGGCACCATTCAAGGGCTCAGTAAGCCTACAAAGTCTTCTCTACAGTTTAGGTGATCAGCAGTCTTGACACACATGAACTAGCAAAGTTGGATATATCTCTCCGACAGTTGCATGAAGGGAACTGCAGCTACAGTTTCTTCTTGTTCATACCTAAGGAATTATTGAAGGCCAGGGGCCAGGAGATGGACATATAGTGACTGCATGCATGTTTTCCTCTTGGCAACCTGATCACAGTGTAAACATGAGCAATCTAATGTCACAAATAGTATGCATTGATACTGAATTAAGATAGAACAAGTTAGATGAATCATATGGAATAAATTCCCCTGTTTCATAGATAAAAAACAATTAACACTTAGACTACAAGATGTTGAATTTTCACTACTACTAAGTACATGATGATAAATAACTTTGGTTGAGGCATTAACTCAATCTGCAGGAAGTAGGACCTCTGCTCTTCATTGCCAGTAGCAATTAAACCAATTCAAGACTGCACCTTCCAAGTTCTCACATGGTAAAGGCATCCAAGAAATTTTTGGCCATACATGATAAAATCTGCGAATAATGAGAACAATTTTTTGGAAAATGTATTTATATATGAATGGTTATTTTGCCAAATAAGTACACATAGGCAAAATATGGGCCATGTCACACAGCAGAACCGATTGGGTTTCTCATGAATTGGGCCGGTCGCGCGGCCCGTATAAAGTCCGGTTTCTTCCATCTGTCATGCATTTCAAATCACGGTCGAGTCGAGTCGCGTCGTTTCGGCTCCCCGTTTCCGGTCGCCGCCGCCGATAACCGTCGCCTTCAAAAGCCCCCTCTTCAAGGATAAAACAATACGACCTACTTGATCGTCATATCTGATTCCGATCAAACCTTGGAAGGTTCGAGTTTTTTCAGTCGTCGGATTGCGAAGAAAAGGAACTTGTTCTGATCTTTAATTTGTTTTCCTCTGCTGCAGGTGATGTGCAGAGTGTCTGGATCCTCTGTGATTTCAACTGCTAATTCCACTCTCATGGCAATTGTAATTGTCGAGGTGTGCACAAATTTCTTGTCGTTGCCAATATCATGCATGCTCTTGTAGAAACCCAATAAAGGGGGTTTTGTAGAAATATTTAAAGGTCGTTCGATTCTTGACTCACGGCTTTGTTGTTGTTATTGTTCGATTCTTTCCAAACAGAAGTGTATCGGTAAGAAAGAGTTCATGCTTAGCTTAAAAGTTGTGCCTGTTTATTAGGGTTTCGAAACAGTTCTACAATCCATTCCCATTGTTAATTATGACCGTGAAAGATGTTGAAGACGGAAGAGCTGCCGTTTCAAGAAACCAAGAGGTCCTAAAGAGAAACTAGTCTTTACCGTGAAAAATTATGATCTGGGAGGTCATGAATTCATTGGTTAGAACTCTCCTAATCATGCTTTATCTTCTCCTAATCTTATCAGTTACTCTTTCATGTGTTCTCTGGTTATTGAATTGGAAAAGCAAAATAAGATGCTGCCAAACAAATGATCACACTTTTTATCTGTGAGTCTTCTCAGTTACACTTGAAAGGGGAACACACAAATGTTCAATCAATCAATGTTGATTCATTTATTGTTAGATAGATCATGTTTGTCAGCATTCACCTTCTAAGGCTTACTTTTCAATAAGCTGGAGCAAGGCGGCAATTTCATGTACATACAGTTGAAGATTGGTTGATATATGAATTCAAAAAATGTGTTTAGTATTTCAATGAAGTCATGATATGGAGATTCCCTTTCTATTTGGAACTAATTTTTGCTTATAGTGTGTTTCTTAATCAATGAATGCCTTTTCTTTCAAAGAAAAATATTAATTGATTTTGAGTTGAGGGTTTATTTTGTGGTTTTGCCTTGGGATTCTTGGATATGTGGTAATTGTCCTACTTTCAACTATGCGAATAAACCATGAACATTATAAATGTGGAAAACCTCATATGTTCTGTTAGGTTGTGTTTTTACTCGACTATATTTCCCTTTGAACATGATTTATCCATCTAGTATGTGGATGAGAACAATTTTTATGATTTATACTTCTATTGTAGCTCTTTATTCGAGGCCCTCAAGTTATTGATTATGCTATAGTGAAATGAAGAAATCTTATAGCTAGGACTTAGAACCTTGACCATATGCTGTTACAGCCTCAAAATCCATATCCATTTATTTCTTCTCAGTTCATATTTGAAAGACAAGGATGAAATATTTTGCCTTCAACTGTTTTTGGGTGCTTCAGTACTTTCGCTACCGCCAAGGAGAACCATAAATTGGAGTAACTACAGACTTGACATGGAGATACTTCTCCAAAGCATGCATTCCACTGTCCCTCCCGAATCCACTCATCTTATATCCACCAAAAGGGCAATCATCATCAAATGCAAAGTAGCAGTTAATCCAGATGATGCCTGCACGAATCGATCTTGAGACCCGGTTGGCTATATTGAGGTCTTTCGTCACAATCCCAGCTGCCAGTCCATATCTCGTATTGTTGGCTCTCTCAATTGCCTCCTCGATTGTCCTAGCAAAATAACAAAGGTGACTTGAAGAAAGCTTTTGTAGCAGATAATTCTCTTTTCTGAAGGTGCAGTGTTTTGTAGTGCTTTTGAAGTGTTACTTATGCTTATTCTCCTCTTCATCTTTTGTGTGGTTACTTATTATCACTATGACCAAGTTAAGTTTGATCCACATATATCTAGCTGAATCAGAAACTAGATGTTTTGTGCTAGTGGATTACCTCCAAACTAAATTAGAAACAACCAGATGTTTTTGAATCAAAATCTTTTGCCTGTATTGTACTATATTTTCATTAGTTTCATGATATTAGTACCCATTATTTCCTACATACGTTCTTTGTGCATATGTCAAATCTTTAACATTACATGCTACATTTGCCTACAAAATGCAAATGCACATGATTTCTGTGAAGCATACTTGAATCATCTATATTGTATCGTATCAAATGAAAACGCCAGTAAGAAGACTTACTTGAACTTCATAAGGGACATAACAGGTCCAAAGATTTCATCTTTAGCTATCAGCATATCATCCTATCCAAAATATTACATGATATTAGGGAGGAATTTCTAATTTGCATTCTAAAAAATTATTGAATTTTACCTTGACATCTGTGAAGATTGTGGGTTCAATGTAGAACCCTTTCTCACCACAAGGCTTTCCTCCTGTTAGCACGGTAGCTCCTTCTCTCTTTCCGTGATCAATGTATTTGAGAACTTTCTCAAATTGCTTCTTATCAACCTTCATGATGATAAGGGAACTTATGAGCATGACATATTTGTGAATGAAAATTGTCAGTGAGGATTTCTTTAAAGAAGATCACCTGGGGTCCTTGATGAACATGGGCATCAAATGGGTCTCCTACTATCCAGTTTCTTGAACTTTCTGCTATTTTCCTTACAAATTCATCGTAGATTCCTTCTTGCACATAGACACGCGATCCTGCCACACAAATTTCTCCCTGTAGTTGCATGACTGTCAATGGTGTTATCTTCCTGTATGAAAACAAAGACTACTAGATATAGATTGGGTGAAAGAACCATCCATGCCTTGTTAAAAAATATGGCTTTACGAGCAAGATCAACAGCCATATCCACATCTGCATCATCGAAGATAATAACTGGTGACTTCCCACCTAATTCAAGAGAGACAGACTTCAAATTGCTTCTTGCTGCTGCCTCCATCACAAGTCGTCCTACTTCTGTCGATCCTGTGAAACTAACCTAATACCAAAGAAAATATAATTGGCAAGCTAATCCACTATGTAGTGAATCTTTTAGAAGTTTTGGAGCCAGGTTGATATGCATTATAAAGATTGATGATCTATGAATTTCAATAAACAATACTTAAGATGACTCAAGACATATGTGATGGATGACTCAAGCTTATGAGACATTTGTCACAAGTCAGATATTACCTTGTCCACATCCATATGAGCAGTAATGGCAGCTCCAGCTGTGTGACCAAAACCAGTGACAACGTTAAGAACTCCATCAGGAATACCTGCCTGCAATATTGATGGAATTAGTCTAATTTCTTCTGATCTCATTCCAGATACATCATATTTGACTTTGATTCATACATCATATGACCCTTTAATTCAAACTATTGTTCTTTACCAGTGTCAGAGTGTTATATCTGCTGCTAATGATTTATATTCATACTTGATTGGTAACCATGTTGCTTAATAAAATGATGCCTTGTTGATTGTTTACAGCAATTTCCTGTTAAAAACTTATACGAGAATCTTTGCAGGTGTTTTTTGAGTTTATGCCAAATGTGCTATGATCAAGAAAGCCATATTAGAAACAACCTTTACAGGTAAAAATACAGAAGTGATTTCATATACTATACCTGTTTAGCCAAGTGGGCATAGTAGAGAGCTGTGAGTGGGGTCTGTTCAGCTGGCTTGACGATCATTGTGCAGCCAGCTGCCAAGGCTGGGGCGACCTTGAAGAAGAACATGATCGTCGGAAAGTTCCATGGGATTATGTGACCGACTACTCCGATGGGCTCCCGCAGTGTATACCCCTGAAACTCTCCTGACATCTTCAATGTCTCACCATGGATCTTGTCAGCTGCCCCTGCATAGTATCGGACCATGTTCGAGGCTCCCGGCACATCAAGAATCTTATTAAGTAAGAATAGTTTTCCTGCATCTAAGCACTCCACTGCAGCCAGTTCTTCAGCATGCTGATCAATCAGGTCTGCATATTTCATCATAATCCTCCCCCTTTCCTGATCAAAGTAGAAAGAGGTAGATATGTCTTATAGTTATTCTGACATTCCTATATTTTAGATACATGTCTAGTGGGTCAACATTCATATGCCATTTCAAGACTTTTGGAATGAAATGAATTTTGGGATTTGGTTCCTTGCCTAAGAAAATGAGTAGTCAGTGTTCGATGATTTTCACCATTTAGTCTTACAGATGATATATGAGTTTTGACTAGACTTGAGCACAGATCTTTATTATAGTAGCTTCAGAGCACCATTATGAGATCAGATGAGTTGCAGACAGTCCTTTAGGTGAATGTTATAGCTTGAAGCTTTTAGAGACTGATTTATACAAACTGAACAACAATTATAGCATGACAAGATCTTCTTATCAAAAGGAGAAAAATATATTAGAAACTCTATCTGGAGATATCATTTGATTGACTCCGAGTTCTGCATGACAAGTTATTTTCAATCTACCATTGAAACCGCATTTTGCTAAGTAGTTGGTCAATCATTTTCAGGATGCTCAACATCAGCATGGTGCTAGCTTTAAATAATTAAAAGGGAAAGACAACCTACAAAGCCAGACATGCGAGGCCATTTGCCATGGTCAAAAGCTTCTCTGGCTGCGTTCACTGCCAAGTCAACATCCTCCTTGTCACCGGCAGCTATGTCGGCAATCACTCCTCCGGTACGTGGGTCTCGTGTCTCAAAAGTTTTTCCTGTATCAAGTATAATTGAAGTCAGATATGATTTGGGAAAGTCCCAAATGTGTTTCTTGTATCAGCAACAATGTAAAAGATTCATATATGGTTGATCAAATATATATATATATATATATATATATATATATATATATATATATATATAGGATGTGACAAAATCTTTATCAACTAAGGGCTAAGCTAGCCAGCACCATTTTGTGTCTGAAATTTTGTTTCTTTCCAATTGTCGTGAATAAGTACTCTTGTTATTCTTTTTTGTGAAAAGCCAATTATATGCTTTTGCCTTTTGGTAGATGAGGACAATTGACAGTGCAACTATATTTAGTTTTCCACAACACTTATATTTTGTGTACCACATCCTCTTACAGAAAATTTCTAGCCATTTGAATGAAATAATTTGGTGATCTTCAACTGTTAATGCCTCCAAAAAAGGAGACAGATGCCATCATGACAAGGCAACACAGGATTTTGATGTAATTCCAGCACTTTCTAAGTTCTAGTTGCCCTCATTTAGCGAACTGATGTGATCAAACAGAGAAACCCAGAAGAGAAAGAAAGAGAAGGCTCGGCGACAAGGAAGACGAGTGCTTCTTTACCCGAGACGGCGTCGACGAAGCAGCCATTGATGAAGAGCTTGGTGAACTTGATCTCGGGCATCTTGACACCGTCTCCTGTGCTGCCATTAGCCTCGCTCGCCATTGCCGAGAGGAAGGGAATTGCTCCCAATACTTCAGGCTTCACGTTTTAAGGTTGCTGTTGCTAACGCTGTGCTTCTCACTCGATGTTGGTAGCAGGCGTGGATGGCACCATTCCCACCCATAAATTTAATATTATATCCACACCTCATGTTGTAGATGGCGAATGATTGAGTCAAACTTACCGTTTTTTGGGAAACTCGAAATTTCTATTATTCAATTTTGTTAACATTTATATTTATTTTAATTCAACAAATTTGAATGGTTAAGTTTCTTTGATTGGAATTGGATCTGTAAAAGGACTGTGGATTTCTCAGTCGATGATTAATTTCTTTTCCATAAGTCACAAAATATGTGTTTTTTTAATTATTTTTAATTATTATTCTTTTTAATTTTGTTAATTACATCAGATTTATTTTTTCCAAATGTTTACCTCGACAATCTAAGGAATGATTTTGGCCTGATCTGATTCAACATAAAAGTATTTTTTTAATTCGATTATCCTTTTAAATTAGACACATAATTTAAATTACTTCGTGATATAAGATAAAAATCTAATTGGAAGCACAATGGTTGATAAAAAGAATTTATGATGGATATTTAAGTTGCAAATTAGAGGATACTGACGTGAGTTAAATCACAACATGGTTATTTCTTTTAAAAAAACCCTTATTTTGGGTATTTTCTAAATAATTATCTATATTTTATTTTTTTTAAAATCATACTCCTAATTCAAGAATTATCCAAATTATCCGTCCTCATCCATTGTAGCCTTCTCCATCATCGTCATTATCGATTCCTTTTCCTTCTTGTATTGTCATCTTGTATCGTCTTTATCATCATCCTGCATAAGAAAAGAGGGGGCACGAGGGCAACCATCGAGCCTCGCACCTTTCTTGTGAGAAGACTGTAGGCGACAAGTCCAACGAGACAAATGGATCGACTTTGAGAATGCATTGCAATTACTTTAAAAAGGGTTTTCAACCATTTTAACCCCTTTACTATTTGGCTAAATATTTTCTTATTTTTATTAAAATAAAATAAAAAACTCTCATAATATTTTCAATAAAACATAATGCATATAGTTTCAATATATTCACTAATTAAAGTCTGAGTTAGAGAAACATAATTCAAAACTTAGATTCATTTCATTTTCTTCGGATGAAATTTAAGTTTTTAAAAAACACTTTACATATTGTAGCACCGAGAAATTTATTTCAATAAATGTTTTATGTTTTTAATTTTATTTACCAAAAATTCCTAGAGATTGAATTTTGTTAACATTAATATTTACTTTAATTAAAAAAGTTTAATGGTTAAGGTTTTACGTTTCTTATGGGTTTAATTAAACAGCCTATAGTTCACAATAGAAGAATACTCGATCTTATTCTTGGAAAGCATATTCAATCATACACCTATCCGAAGCCTCCCGATGGATTTCTAAATCTTATTTTTTGTAATTCATTAATCAGATCGATTATGTTTTGTTTTTTGTTCTTACCCTTAAAGACCTCCAAAGAAATGAGAGTCTAAAATTAGTCTCTTCGCCAGCGTTTCATTTTGTCAGTAGCTTTGTAGTGTTTCTTGTTTGTGTGAGGTAAAATGGCGGGGTGGGCGTCTCACCGGTCGTCCTCTGCGTGACTTCCAACAATGCCAGCAAATACTCATGTGAAGATAGCATTTGACAGCTGAAACAACACAATGAATGATGCCAAACGCATAGATCCATACCGATGAGATCGTGTGATCTGTGTAGCCAAAATTTAATCCAATTGCATACAAGAAGAGGTTCTATGATCGCATCTACCGAGTTTGTAATAAGATGGACCGGTAAAGATGATTTTTAACTGTCTTCGCCACCACACAAATGTTTGTTTTCAATTTTTTTTTCGATGCTGACATTTTTAGTTTTCGATGGATTCAGTGTTCGATGGATTCCCCCTCCTTCTTGCACCATTTAGTCAGTGATCTCAAGCTACGTGTCCAAGCCCCTGAAGTCAACATGTAGATCTTAGACTATCTCTTCGTCATCCTGATGCTGGTGGCCAAGAAAGAAACAGTCTTTTGTTCTTGATCAACTTGGATCTGTATTGAGATATCAGCTGACCCCTCTTGTAGACCATGATTCTTCTTCATGAGCTTGAGAGGAAAGATCTTAAGATGATCTGTGATAAGGTTTGTGTCCTCTTCTCGGGATATTGATGTCTTCTGGCGTATTCATGCACCGTTCCTTTTTCTTCTTTCTTTTTTCTGAAAGATGAAGAACAATATACACTCCCACGTCTCTCTCTCTCTCTCTCTCTCTCTCTCTCTCTCTCTCTCTCTCTCTCTCTCTCTCCTCACGATAGGAGCTGCACGAAGTCGTAGGGTTTCTCCAGCGAAACAACAAATACGTTCATCACATTCCTGTAAGTACTCCCCGCTGCATGAATTGTTGATGCCTGCGGAAAGTGATTCTTTTTCTTCTTGCTTGGAGTTCCTGTGATTCAGTCCAAGTAATGACTTCTGCAGAAGAAAGACTTGCACAATTTCTTGATCCATCGAGTGGATGCAACAGCACATCTACACACATTCCCAAGAGATGCTGAGCTTTAGAATTCATCCCAATTGAAGATTTTGCCAGTATAGAAGATCATCTCTTGAATAAAAAAAATAAGTAAACATTATCTACAAATGATAGATGAGATTATTTATTCATACTTTGGGTTTTACCAAAAAAATGAGTTGCAATTTGAGATATAAGAGAAGTTATTGGTCCTATATGCAATCCACAACCAAGAAAAGGAAAAGATAAATGATTTGATGCAAAGCAGGTCATTGTTTTTTTGGCCCAAAAAATACACTACTTAACATTCTTTACATAAAAAAAAGAATCAAAGCACAGCTTGGAGTTTATAGTTTCCCAGCTGTGACTAAATAACTTGGTCTTTATCAAAGTTGGCTAAAATATGGGCCGACATGGCTCCACTTGACCTCCTCAATCACTCCTCTCAATGATCAAATCCATCTTGTAACCTAATGATGCATCTCGACACAATGGTGGCATATATTGGCTTAGAACGTACATTTAGTGAACAGATATCTCCAGAGTAAAGAGTAATAAGCTCTCAAAGCATGAGATGATCTTTGTGATTTGAGGTATTACAACAAAGACGCAGTCAACCCTGAGACCTCCCTCTCGTGTGTTTGGATGCCAGCTTTTGTAGGAGATCCTCAAGAGATCCAGCCAAAAGGCAACCACCCCATTCTCCTCTTCCTCCATTCTCTTTCCTACCACCTCCCTTGAGACAGCGGCCATTTCTGAGTTGGCCTCGTTTGAGGCCCTTCTTGCCCTTCTTGCCGTTCTGCTCTCCCCTCTCTCCTGTCTTCTCTTCGACTCCATCTTGAGGCATTCTTGATCGGATTGGATTCACGTCGGAGAAGGCAGAATCACTTCCCCGATCATCGACGCTAAGGATTCAGTTGTGGTATTAGCTTGCATGCCTGACTGACATCGACATTAGTATTAACATCCCGAAAAAGAGACAATGAACGACCTCCTCTCCACCACCTCCTTCAAGCAGTACACCAACCTGAAGCACCAGGTGCAGATGGACCAGATGGAGGCGGGCATGAGCGGGCCGGGCGCCGACGTCGGTGCCAACCTCGAGAGGTTCTTTGAGGAGGTGGAGAACGTGAAGAACGACCTCCGCGGCCTCGAGAGCCTCTACCGCCGGCTGCAGGAAGCCAACGAGGAGAGCAAGACGGCCCACAGCGCGAAGACGATGAAGGCGGTCCGCGCGCGCATGGACGCCGACATTGGTCAGGTGCTACGGCAAGCTAAGGCGGTGAAGGCCAAGCTCGAGGCGCTGGACCAAGCCAACGCGCAGCACCGGAACATCCCCGGATGCGGCCCTGGGAGCTCGGCGGACCGGACTCGGACGTCGGTGGTTAGCGGGCTGGGCAAGAAGCTCAAGGACCTGATGGACGACTTCCAGGGGCTGAGGACGAGGATCGCGGCGGAGTACAAGGAGACGGTCGGGCGGCGGTACTACACGGTGACGGGGACGCACGCGGACGACGACACGATCGAGACGCTCATCTCGTCGGGGGCAAGCGAGAAGTTCATGCAGAAGGCGATCCAGGAGCAGGGGCGGGGACAGGTGATGGACACGATATCGGAGATCCAGGAGCGGCACGACGCGGTGAAGGAGATCGAGAGGAGCCTACTGGACCTGCACCAGGTGTTCCTGGACATGGCCGCGCTGGTGGAGGCTCAGGGCCACCAGCTCAACGACATCGAGAGCCACGTCGCGCACGCCAGCTCGTTCGTTCGCCGGGGCACGGTGGAGCTGGAGACGGCGAGGGAGTACCAGAAAAGCTCCCGCAAGTGGTTCTGCATCGGCATCATTGCCGCTGCTCTCCTTATCACCTTCCTGCTGCTTCCCGTTCTGACCACCATGATTAGATAGGAGAGAGAGAGTGAGGAGCGGGAGTCATACTTTCTCTATCTGTAAAGACAATAACCTACACAGATTTCTTTTATCGTTGTTGCAATGGATCTTTTCTTGGATCCCGGTCACTACAAAAACCTTAGAAGTTTTGATAGTTCTGACATTGCTGCAACGGATCATCTACAGTTCTTAATATGTTGCGTGACCGAGCTGAGCATGAACGAAGAACATGGGCTTGTTGATCATGAGCATGAACCGATGCATCAAATTTCGCCGGCAAAAATGAATAAGATTAGTGCCAACAGTAATTACAATAATAATAAGATAGATTCACATTGAATCACACTCAGATATTAATGATCAACATATAATTGAGAAGTTAGTTTTGGTCAACTTCTACTCATCTACCCACGTGCATAAAAGTAACATAAATTGTTTGAGACTATCTCCCTAGTCATCCACATCGACAAAACGTCAAGAGGAGGACGTTGGGGTTGTTGCATATTATTCTCTCTAAAACTAAGTATAAAAGCTAATATCCGATGCTATATTAATTGGTTCTATTTTTAAGAAAAAATTCATACCGAATAAGAGAACTTGATCACTAACTCGAGCGTCGGAGAAATCAGATCAAAAAATTTCTCTTGACATCAATCTTTGTGCAAGTGGCACCTTGAGATCTCGATACCTTAAAGCCATATCAAAGCCACCTCAGATACTCCTGCACCCTGTAGTTTAAACTTTATAGGAACGATTTTGCCTCATGCTAACTCATTCACCACAAAGGTCGATACCTAAGCAGGGCCCCAAGTCACTAGGCCCAAAATGGCATCGTAGTGAATTCTTATGTGCCTTGCATCAATGACTGACAATAACTGTCATATCTTATCAAGATCAATAATTGTCCTATCTTATCAAGATCAGAGACCTGAATGATTAGGCGATTAACTTGATCTTATCCCAAGCTAGCTAGTAAGAAGGCTTAGGGATCAGGTATAAAAAGAAACCCATCAGCTCATGTCGAGAGGGGATTCTCTACACGTTAACTCAGTCATACAACTTACACTGTTGTCTTCTTCCCTTGGCTAACTTAAGCATCAGAGGAGTCATGTCAGGTAACCCCTGGTGTCAGCCTGTCATGCAGGATCGTCAGTCGCCCAAAGACACTTGGATGACCCATCCTCTAGTGAAGGACCTCACAGCCGAGCATATCCTAGTTCCTCTACCCGGTCTCACTGTTTTAAGGCCAGATCGATCTCGATGAATCATTCGTCTCTCTTGTGGGGGTTCTTATATGTCAATTTGCCATATAAGAACTCTCACATCAGCACAGAGGAGAATACAATGATGAATCTGCACTGTCAACAGTGAACCAACCATGTCGACTTACCAGTTGACGATCCTCATGACATTATCATTCCGACGCTATGAGGGTTAGAACGTCGTAGGCACACCCTTCTGTTACTCCTTCCAATAAACGTTCGAGCGAAGAGATATTACCTCTAGTCCCAAGCCCCCTCAGGAAGAGAAGGCACGTATCCCAATTTAATATAATGATGGCTCTGCCTCATCTCAGGCATCGAGGCTCTATTCACATCTACTTATCTAGGGTTTTTCCCCTCGGGACTAGAGACAAGTCTCTTGCTCATCCCATCAAAAGCATTCTTGAGCCTCACTCAACGAGTCCAAACTCTTACTAATATAATGTAAATTATCACCCCACTTCTCCCTCAATTGACTTAGCCAATAATCCTAGTGTAACATCTCACCCTCGGATTGCCAACTACACTTTTTCCACACTTCATCTTCCAAGAGGGACAAGTGCAACATACTGCTAAGACACATCATGGCCCCATGCCTCCGCCTCATCCTCGGCACCAAGGATAGCCCAGGAAACCAAGCTTCAGCAGCCCTGTGCCTCTACCTCATACTCAACAACACCAAGGACAACCCAAGGAACTAGGTCTTAGCAACCCTATGCCTCTGCCTCATCCTCGATAGTGCCAAGGACAGCCAAGGGACCTAGGCTTCAGTAGCCTTATGCCTAAGGCTTGTCCTCGGTAGTGCTAAGGACAACCCATGAAACCATGCTTTAGCAGTCCAATGCCTCTGCCTCATCCTCGATAGTGTTAAGGACAGTCCAAGGAACTAGACCTTAGTAGCCTACACCTCCACCTCATCCTTGGAAGCACCCATCGGGCCTCCTCGAGCCTATGCTTGGCCTCCTTTGCTAGGCTTCAACAGCACTGTGCCTTCGCCTCATCCTTGCAACTTCTTTCATGCCTTCGTAAATTTCTACTCGACTTCCTTTGCTCGTAGCTCCAAGAGTAGCTCAGCGGCCTGAACCTTGGTAGTGCTGCACCTCAGCTTCCACTGTTGGTAAAATGCCATAGTATAAGTAGCTAAGGTAGATCTATTCCCCAGCCCATAGCGACCAAATTTAGACCCGTCATAAAAATCGCACCTTCAATCACCACACGCCAACGAAACCTAAAGAGGAGCACAACCCCCTGAGCACATCAAACCTTAAGGCAGTAAAAAGCTCCCTCCTAAACTAAGTAGGGTAAGGCGATACATCACATCTTAGACAAAGCGCCTTAGCAGCGATAAATACCACCCATTGCAGCATCATCCACCACTGGTCAGGTATCATGACGGGTCCAACCTATCGCTTTAACGTACTCAAACTCCTTAACGGGTCTAACCTACCATTTCAACCTGGTCAAACCCCTTGGTGGGTCCAATCTACTACTTCAACATGGTCAAACCCCTTAACGAGTCCAATCTACCACTTTAATATGGTCAAACCCCTTAACGGGTCTAATCTACCTAAGGGTTGCACATAGGCTAAGCTCATATGCTCCCTAGCCATACACTCAGCATGAAGACCCGAGAGCTGCACCTAGGCTGAGCTCACGTGCTCCATAATCTTACACTTTGCATGAAGACCCGGGGGATGCACTTAGGTCGAGCTCACATGCTCCCTAGTCGTGCACTCAGCATGAAAGACCCCAGGGATGCACCTAAGCCGAGCTTCCATGCTCCCTAGTCATGCACTAGATGTGAAGACCTAGGGGTGAGATCTTAAATGAGTGGAGTTTAAAAGGACTCACTCTCGAGCCAAGCATATCGGCGTGAAGCCCCCGAGGGATGCACCTAGGCCGAGCCTGCATGCTCTCTATCCATGCACTCGGTATGAAGACCCTAGGATCATACCTCGGCTAGGATCGATACGCTCTTGACACCCTAGCCAACAAACTTCCATCATAGCACATACCCAACAGAAGAGCACGCAAATGCACCATCCAAAGAAAGCCCCTGAATGACGCCCTTCCAAGAGGGGGGCAAATGATATGGATAATTTTGCCCCATGCCAACTCATTTGCCATAAAGGTTGACACCTAAGTAGGGCCCCAAGTCACCAGTCCCAAAATGACGTCATAGTGTGTCTTAATATGCCCTGCATTAATGACTAACAATAACTGCTCTACCTTATCAAGATCAATAATCATCTTATCTTATCAAGATTAGAGACCAAAATGATCAGGCCAACTAGTAAGACGACCTAGGGATCATGTATTAAAAAGAACCCATCAACTCACATTAAGGGAGAGACTCTCTACATACTAACTCAGTTATACAGCCGGCTTGTCATGTAAGATTACCAACCGCTAGAAGACACCGGGACGACCTAGCCTCCAGGGAAGGACTTCGCAGCCGAGCAGATCCCAATTCCTTTACTTGGTCTCACCGCTCTAAGGCCAGATCGACCCCAACGAACCGCCTACCTTGTAGATCTCCTACGTTGGTTTCTTACGCACTCCCACATCAACAAGGAGAACACAAGAATAAATTTACGATAGTAAATCAATCATATTGACTCATCATACACCATCAAGACTATATTGGGTTCATGACACATCTGTTGAACCTATTAATAAATTCCTCTTTCGAGAATTCTACGATAGCATTACGTCATCCATGTTGAGTACTCACTCAAAAAATCATTTTAATTTATTTTCATGTGAGTAATGTTTCGACAAAGTCCCTGTCATATTTGTTTTCACGAATACTTTATCGTTCGTTGATTCCCACTTAAGGGTCTTCGGTGAATAAGGATAAAAAGAAAAGGGCCTATATGTGAAATATTATCAGAAAAAAGGGGTTTTCTAAAAACGTTCCGTTAATTAAAGCACGGGATGGCCTCTGTGCGGTCGCCGAATAGATAATTAGATACTCGCTCCTGATTTGTCGCGTGCGAATTTCTCTTCCGATCGCCGTGTGTCCTTTCTACGCCCTTTCCAAACTTTCGTCGAATTCGCCCCCTTCATGCTTTCGTAACTGCGATCGAGGGGGAGGAGGAATCGATTTGGCCGCAGGACGACGCTGAAGTCGCTGCTCTTCGTGCATCGGTCGTCGAGACCCCTTGGTGAATTTCCGGTCCCTCGTAGCCGCGGCTGGATCACAGGTAGAGCGACCCAATTTGATTCGTATTTATTGTTTTTTTCTTGAGCAACCTCATCTGGTATTGCCTGGACACGATCATGATCGGAAAATTTCAGTTGGAATCTTTTCTGGCAAGAAAAACCCTAGTTTGGTTGTGCTATTTTGCAATCGAATCTTCTGGAACGCGGTCGAAAAATTAAAACTTTCTGCGAAGAATAGTTTTGTGCTGAATCTTGATTGCGTCCTGGGATTCATGGGGATTCCATGAAAATTCAAATTGGATCTGATGTATCCAACTGCCGTGATATTTTCCTATTCGACTATGATATATGACGCGACGCTCGCTCCAATTTATCAGAGTAATAGATTTTCATTTATCGATAGATTTAATTAACAGAACTCACCTGAATTTTACTTTTTGGATCCAATAACTGGAAAGAAGAGGGGAGAAAAAGGGGAAAATATGATTTCTTGGAGTGAGGTAAAGGCTTTAGGTGATCCTTGTGTTTCATACACTGTTTTTGGTCGGATTATGATGGCATCCGTTATCTAGGTATCAAGGATGTCTACTCCTGCAAGGAAAAGGCTGATGAGAGACTTCAAACGGTTGCAGCAGGATCCTCCAGCAGGTATCAGCGGTGCTCCCCATGAAA